TTGGGGGAAGGCTCTAAATGCGCCACGTGGTATGTGTGAGTGTGTGTTGTGTGTGTCTTTGTTTGTGAATGAGTGAAGAGTGAGTCTCACCATCTCCTTGACAGCGGCGTCCTTCTCGCTGATGGCCGCGTCCCGGACGCGTTTGGACATGTTGAGTCTCTCCGCCATCTTCTCCATACTGATGAGGGTCTTGTCCTTCTCCATGCGGGCTCTGACGTGCGCCTCCACCGCCTCGTCCCGCTCACGCAGGGCGCGGTGACGGTCTCTGCTGGCCGACTCAAGGTCCTTACGGGCTGGACAGGGATGTATTCATTAGTGAAGCGCGCGCGCACACACACACACACACACATACACTTGCGCATGCATGGACGTACACACACACACACGCACACAAACAATCAAACAAACACACACATACATAGTATACACACACACACAAACACACACACACACACATGCGCGCACACACACGTACTCACATACACACTCAAATACATACAATGATAATAATACTGAAAAAGCCACACACATGTATTACAACTTTGGTGTAGTCTGCAAAGCATTATGGTGCAGTCGGGCATGTATACAGGTTCTTGTTTCAAAAGGTGAAACGCATGGACGCACGGACGCACACACGCACGCACGCACGCACGCACGCACTAACACACACACACACACACACACACACAGACACACACACAGACACACACACACACACATGTGTATAGAGTGCTTTTGTAAAAGGTGAAACTTACTGCAAAGCCAAGTTGGGCCAAGCGACTCCATCCTACTGTAGGTTCATATACTTAAGTTACCTTGATCTGAGTCTTTTGAAAAACGGGCAAACATGCCCATGGCGTGGTCCGCCTCCATACCTGCGTCTCTCTCCTCGACCGCGTGATGGCGCTCCTGCAAAGCACTATCTCTTTCTGTAGCCAGCGTCTCTTTAGCGTTCAATGCGGCGGCTAGCTGCTCCTGGGCGGTTCTAACGTGCTGCGTCGCCCGGTCCTTTTCGCTGACGGCTTCCCTGAGTTGTTCCAGGGCCTTGTCTCTCTCGTGCAGCGCGAGATCTCGCTCCTCTCCCGCCGCCTTCTCTTCAAAAACTGCTGCGTTTTTAGCCTGGATGGCTGCAAACACACAAACAAAACAGTTTATGATAAATTATGAAATAAAGACTAAACTTTCTCTGCCAACACTGGAATGAATTGGGGCTTACCCCAAATTTGTTCACGGAATGGACCCGTCTACTCTTGGAACGTGACGTCAGAGACACGTGACCGTAGTAGCGGGTCATACGTCCCAGATAACTTGTGTCGCCCCCCCGTCTGTGAGCTCCAATAGGGTAAGTCCCAATTCATTCTAGTGTTGTCAGAGAAAATTAAAGTTTAGTCTTTATTTCATAATGAAAGATGAACTCCCATGCTAAGTTTATAATATGATAAAGACACAATAGATTAACAACCCCATGGCCTCAAATAAGGCTATTGGACATTTCCCTACCCACTACCCCTATCTACTCACCCTTGTCCCGATCCTGTAACGCTTCTTCCTTCTCCTTCAGTGCTTCCTCCCGCCCCAGTTTCGCCTGGTCATACTTCAGCAGGGCGTCCTCCTCATGTTCCTTGGCTGCCTGAGCCTCCTCCAGCGCAGCCTCACGTGTGATGATGGCGTCCTTCAGTTCTTTCAGAGCTCTCTCCGTCTCCAGACGAGTTTCGTACCTTTCGTTTACAGCCTGCTCCCGATTAGCCACGGCTTCTACCTTCTCCTTTTCTGCTTTTTCCTGGGAATTAGAAAACCGAAACACGAAGTCAGAATTTCGTTAGACAGTCAAGTTGTGTTTTTTAGTGACGATATTTTGTTTGACCCTTACCTCTTTCCTTAAGACCTCAACGAAAAGCGGTCTCAACGTCGATTTCAGTTTCTTGTGAATTTAAAGATCTGCTGACATGAAAAATTAATACATGAATACACTCGCAAAACAAACTCAACCTCAACCTCAAGCCTTCTTTGGAGAAGATTCGTCGACATCAATGCCCTTATTATTGACTACCAAGTCTATTCTAGCCAAACTTGAAATGGTGTAATCTGTATCTTTGTTAGATATTTTGTCTGACCCTCAAGACCTCAATGAAAAGTGACCAGCAGACCGATTTGAGCTTCTTGTGAATTCAACGATCCACTGACATGAGAAGTTAAACTTACACTCAAACTCAACTTCAACTTCAAGCATAGCTTCTTTGTAGAAGATGTATCAAAATCAATGCCCTTATTCTTGACTACCCAGTCTTTTCTAGCCCGACTTGAAATGATGTAATCTGTATCTTTGTTAGATATTTTCTCTGACCCTCATGACATCACTGTAAAGCGGGCAGCAGACCGATTTGAGCGTCTCATGAATTCAACGATCCACTGACATGAGAAGTTAAACTTACACTCAAACTCAACTTCAACTTCAATCCTAGCTTCCTTGTAGAAGATGTATCAAAAATCAATGCCTTACTCGTGACTACCGAGTGTATTCCAACCCACCCTGACAGACGGACCAGCGACAGTTAATCAATAGACGACTTTACCGCGCCGCCGCCGCTGATGATTTCAAACGATTTGCCGCTAACAAAGGAGTCAATATAAGTCAAGTCAGACACACTCCCCTGTGCATCAGGGCTGAATAGCACGCCGGGGCCGTGTCAGAGTCTGGCGCACACAAAGGGTTAACTAAAATGGATGGGCAGAGAAGTGGAGCTGATGACCAATCCTCCGGGAGGCACTTTGCACTTGACCCTGAACACGATATTAGGAACGCTCCGGTGAACACTGATCCCGCTGCCAAAAGTTTGACTAGTTTGAGTACCAGCAGGCATAACTTTCCAGAATTGGTCAATACTAGCGGTTAGGCGAGTGTCATTAACTATACGGCATACAAGACGGCGTCGACCTTATAGGCCCCTGTCACACATTCAGAACTGTTAGGGAGTAGTTTGAAGAGATTCAGGCCACGCCTACCTTTCTATACGAATCGAATAGAATTTGAGTTAAATTTGGATCAAATTTGATCTCCGAACACGCCACGGACACCACAGACCTACTCCCAAACACCAGCGAACAACCAGTAAAACATGGCCGAACCTCCCGTACACACCCGAATGTTTTAAACATTTTGAAATATTTGGCTGGTGCAGCTGAACAATAGCGTGTGTTAGGCGTTTTACCGGGCTTTTTATGCCAGCCCTTCGGGAGACAAATAGATAATGCCTGACCAAATTGATACTGTCTTTACAGCCACCAAAAGATCTGCTTGGAGATTGATTCTGCTATGTGTGACAGGAAATTTCACATCTGTTATTTATGCTGCTAGCTGTCCTTTGAAAACGCGCTAGTGTGTACTACTTGTATGTCCAAACCGTAATGCGTACTTTTGCTCTGATCGCCTCCTCCCTGTCCCGTACGGCGCTGTCCCTCTCCTGCTGCGCCGCCGTCCTGTCCTGCACCGCCCGGTCTCTCTCCTTCACAGCCGCATCCTTCTCACGGACGGCGGTGTCACGCCTTCTGTTGGCTTCCTGCAGGTACAACAACAGCATTAGGCCATGATTTATCTTTTATTTCAACATTTATCACAAGACTTGGCACACTCAAGTGTTTCCAACTTATTTCTATGCTGAATGAAGTGAGGAAAGCCGCGTGGAGTGCGCCTTTGCAAAAAGCATAAGATCGGTGCCATGGCAGGATTCGAACTCGGAACCTCTTGGTTTCAAGCCTGACTTAACACAGAGTATGGTACGGCGAAGATCTTTCTTTGCCTTTGGAATTGATTTTAGCATTCTATGACATCAGTAGTGTTGTTTTGCTCATTTTCAACCTGCTTTGTGCGATTTACAGTATGGTTGAAAGCTTTCATGCGCGCGTTGCTGCCACCCATACAATCAAATCAACATGGCCTAAGTATGTCGCAATGGGTTTGTACGTGCTGATTTGTTATTCACTTCTAAATAAGTACCCATGCAACCACCCTTTTAGTCGCGACTTTGAAGTAATTGCAAATGTGCAACGCCATCAAAAGCAAAGCATTTGGTGATGAATCCGCGCTGTCATTGTACATGCAATTTACCTCCTTTTGTCAGCGAAAGAGTATCCGCGTAACTAACTACTCATTACAGACGACTTTGAAGTGATTTCCACCAAACTTCAGGACATTATCCTTTGAAATACTGCGTCAATCGCAATGATCATAAAGCACAAGTCTAACCAAGGCAGACTACTCGTTAGTGACGGCTTTAAAGTAATTTCCATTGTGCTGTATGAGCGAACATGCCCGCAGGCGTCCTCAACCTTACAGACACTGCGTCATTCGCAGTGATCACAAAGCCCATGTCTAACGCATTTCTCCCAACACGCTCTTAGGATCGTGCAATTAGCACTCGCCCGTGTCTAGCGTGAGCATTTCTCGGAATAAGTTCTTAAGATGGTTCACGGGTATCCATACAATTAGTCATCGCATACGTCCTTTACCTTTCTAGTGCTGCTACGTCAGCGTGGTCGCGTGTTAGGGCCTCATGCATCCTCTTCGTGCGTATCAAACGAAAATGGTGTACAGAGTCCGGTCAGAGTTTCAAGTATTGTGGTGAACTTTACTTTAGGCCCCTGTCACATCTATATTCATGAATTTGGCCTCCAGACCACTAGGCAAACGTCAGTCGGCAGTTTTCGGTGGTCATATTCGTGTCGATTCGTGTACAGAGGTAGGCGTGGCCCAAATCTGGTCAGACTGCTTCGAGGGACAAATTAGGTGCATGGAAAGTCGTGAATGTGTGACAGGGGCTTTACTTAAGCTTCTTCAGACATATTCACCTGTAGATCCTATCAAAGGGTGTTGACGGTCCTACCAGATCTTCAAACACTGTCGTGAAGCTAACTTTACTTCTTCAGACATATATGCACCCGTTGTTCTTTCCTCGACCGTTCTTCACTAATCCAACAGAGCTCCAAACAGCAAATCATGATTTTTAACCTCCTTTCTCAGAAATATGTACCTGCTGTTCTTTCCTGGCTGCGTCCCTGTCGGCCACCGCGGCGTCCCGCTCCTGTGTGGCGGCGTCCCTCAGCCGGACGGCCTCGTCTCTCTCCTGCACCGCTATTTGACTCAAATTTAACTCAAATTCGTTTGAAATATGTACCTGTTGTTCTTTCCTGGCTGCGTCCCTGTCCGCCACCGCGGCGTCCCGCTCCTGTGTGGCGGCGTCCCTCAGCCGGGCGGCCTCCTCTGTCTCCTGCACCCATATTTGACACAAACTTAACTCAAATTCGTTTGAAATATGTACCTGTTGTTCTTTCCTGGCTGCGTCCCTGTCCGCCACCGCTGCGTCCCGCTCCTGTACGGTGGCGTCCCTCAGCCGGACGGCCTCCTCCCTGTCCTGCACCGCCTGGTCCCGGGACGACTCCGCCTGGTCCTTCTGTCTGAGGGCGTCGTCCTGGGGCGCAGAAACGGGAGAGAAAAAATGAAACATAGGCTAAACAACCTATTTATTTTATTTATTGGTTGATTGATTTATTTGGCTGTTCAACACACAGAGACAGGCTACCACTACTCATTCACTCATTCACTCACTCACTCATACTCACTCACTTACTCAATCGCTCACTCACTCACTCACTCTCTCTCACTCACTCACTCACTCACTCACTCTCACTCATTCACTCCCTCCCTCCCTCACTACTCACTCACCCACCC